AGAAAGTCCAGAAAGCTCACTATGTTCTATTCTTTATATAATGGGACTGCCTCTACGATTTAATGCCACTTTTTGGTCAAATGTCTAATTATAATTTGCGAAACAATTATGTGATACCCAGTTGTAGATAGATTTAACCAGAAAATCCTTTTTTTCCCCGATCTACTACTATTGAATGGAATAGCCTAAACCCCGACATACGTACGTCAAGAAATATGAATATATTTAAACACTGATTTTTCCTGTTCTATGTAGTTTTCTTACTGGCAAAAATGGAAAAAGATTTTATAAATGCTGTCAGGCACCGACCATTGAAAAACAATCGATCTGTTTTTTGTTTTTGGCAAATTAGTAAAATGACCGTTTGATTTAAAATCATTTGAAATTATTTTGAAATAGATTAATGATAATAATTTATTTACATGTGAAAAAGCTAGACTTTGTGGCGTAGGGATGTAATTGAGTGGTTTTGTGTGCAATTATTTCCCATTATTTCGGCAGTGAATATCTGCAAGTATTTCATTATGTTGTTTGATTTACACATTATAACAAAACCAAGAATATGACGGATAAATTTATAGTTAGCTGTTTAACGTCCAGTGGCAACTATTAGATGTATTATTAGGAGGACATTTAAAATGTTATAAATATGAACAAGGACATCCTTTGTTATACAAACATGTGTATCACGGCACAAGCGATGACCTTTAGACCCTGTGTAGCATATGTATATTTAGGGTTGCTCCGAATAAAGGGGATATAGATACAGGAAAATAAAGTAAAAAAAAAATATAAAATAAAAATAGAGTATAACGGGCAAAATAAAAAATAGAGGAAAATGGTCTTAGAAAATTTAAGAATAGAGGGAAACGGTCTAGTTTTTGTTGTTAGAAAATTCAAAAATGAAGACGCTCAATTATAATTTCACTTAAGAATTCGAAATTTTTCATTTGCCGGACGCGCTCTTTTTTGATTATTGTTTAAAATCAAGTGCATTTGTAGTAAAAATAATACACTATCGTTTGTACATTGGTAAGGATTTATGTTTGGTGTTGATGAGGCACATAACGGGTAATTGTTTTTATTTGAAATTTCTCAAATATTTGATTTTGTTCGACTGATTTGATAGATGAATAAAAATATATCTATAATCTAAAAAAAAAAGTTTAATTACGATATGTAGATGAAACTGTTATTCAGTCGATGTTTAAATACATGCGATAAAAGAGAATATATAAATATGATTAACAAACTTTTTAAACAAAAGGCAAACCTTAAGACCCCGAATATACTTTGTAAGAACATTAGATTAATTCCGAATTCCATCTAAAATACATTGTTCTTTTAGGTAAAAAGAATGTTAATACCTTAGGCTATTTTCAAAAAATGTTGACTGAAAACCCTGCAGACTGCAGTTTACTCGCACATTCACCAAGTACGTATTTCCACGGCTATCGTATCTTTTAATTTGTTTAAATTTATTTCAGTGTTTATTTTTCAAACTGCTTATGTAAATAATTTTGGATCAACATCGAGTCAGATTAAGTTATAGTTTATTAAATGATTAATTAAAAACTGAAATATGCATCCAATCTAAATGTTACGCCTATGATAACCTATATAAAAAGATTTAACAGAACACAATTCATGTTTTATATATTTTAAAAAACCATATACGCTAAACGAAACTATGTACGCCAAGAAACGATGTACGCTAAACGATACGATATACGCTAAACGAAACGATGTACGCTAAACGATACGATATACGCTAAACGAAACGATGTACGCTAGCCGATACGATATACGCTAAACGAAAAGATTGACGCAATAACATACGATGTACGATAAAAGGGAGCTTATGTTATCGTTTATGGTATGGTTTATGGTACATGGTTTCGTTCGTACATCATTCGTTCAGCGTTCGTACAACGTTCGGTTAGCGTTTCGTTTGCATTCGTACACCGTTCGGGAATCGTACGTACATCGTTCGGGCATCGTCCGTACATGATTCGGGCATCGTTCGTATTGTTAACTTTTACGTTACACGGACTGTACCTATTTCTTGTGTACATAATTTGTTAAAAAGGAAAGGATACAAAATTTAATATTGACAATAAAAGTATGCATAAAACATAAATTGATGTTCCAGGAATACACTACCGTCATCATTCAATGTAACAACAATTTTAATAATTAGTTCGTTTGAAAGTCATAGGGAATAGTGAACCATTTTTTTATCATTTCATATCTGTTATTTTTAGGGTTCAATGTATGCCATGAATAGAATATCAAGAGAGGCAGAAGATACAAAAGGGATATTCAAACTCATAAGTTGAAGACAAAATGACAAAAACATAGCAAAATTAAAAAAAAATCCGCGGTTGATCCCAGATATTTCAGAGGATTAAGCAGATCCTGCTCAGCATGTGCCACTCGTCGTGCTGCTCTTGTAAATACAAGTTTGATGAAAAGTTTCATTCGGTGATTTTAATTGCATTCAAGGAAAATATGAGGTTACAATTGCAAAATTCCAGTCGTCATCTGTGAAAAAAGTTAAAAAACTCGTGATGGCGTACACATTTCGAATCTATGAATTCAACTACTTCGAACCCTTGCTTTAACAGCTGCGTTGCAAGCAGCATTCGTCTTTCAGGGCAGTCATTGGAGGAAACGCATGCTCTTGAACATCGTATCAACTAGGATACACATAGTATTCTAAATTCAGGCGCTGCTTGAATGTTGCTACATAAAAATGAAACAATTGGGCAGCCAAAACCATCACTTATGTTGTACTATTTTGTTCTCAACCGATCCTTATTGCCATTTTCTAGATGTTAGTCAATTTATGAGACAGATTTAACTGTGTCTGTTGTATAGTTTATTTAAATTCGATGGGATAGATGCATTAAACATGGTCACAAAAAATGAACTATTTAGTAAGAGGACAACATCTACATAGCGGAACTTGTTGAATGAGAATGCTGGCTTCAATCTTCCTTAGAGACACATAAAATGTAACAAATATGTTAATGATGAAGAAATCCAGCATCTTGACAATATCAGTTTTAGAGACATTTGTGTTTGAATCAGAATGTTTATATTTACAAAATGTGAATTATTCCTTCCTTATTCAAAATATTTGTATCTACGTTTATCATTCTTTTTTTATGAAACAAAAACAAAAATACCTTCAAAGTAAATCCAAAATGTGGGATATGTTAATTGGACTTTAATCAGAAAAGTTTGGATTGTTAATGGATGGAACATCATCAATATACTTGTATGTGAAATTTAATGATTTAGCTTGTTTGTCAGGAGAATAATTGGTTCCCATAGGAATGCCGATAACCTGTTGAAAAATTCGATTTAAAATGTAACAAATATGTTGCCAGGTTTTGGTGAGGTTCGTGTTGCTCAGTCTTTCGTTTTCTTTGTTGTGTTTTGTGTACTATTGTTTGTCTTTTCTTTTTTGGCCATGACGTTGTTAGTTTTTTTTTCGACTTATGAGGTTGAGTGTCCCTTTGGTATCTTTCGCCTCTCATGTCACTGAGAAACTCCAGCATACGGATCACTTGTTCTTCGGTGTAGCATATTTTAATTTCGTTCTTCGGTATAGCATATTTTAATTTCGTTCTTCGGTGTAGCATATTTTAATTTCGTTCTTCGGTGTAGCATATTTTAATTTCGGGGTCCTTTTTAACAAAATATAATGAATTATATCTCCAAAAATAATTGAATAGCGTGGCATTTTTATGGAGAAAACAATAGTGGATTATTTCGTTAAGATAGGTTTTTAATTTTTCATGTGGTATGGTGGTGTAAAGGTCGGAAAAATCATAGATTTCGATATATTTTATTTCAGAGAATGACAGAGATTTTAAATTGTTTTTGAGTTCTTAAGAATCCACATATAGTTGATGCCAATACGCGAGTAAACAGTATTTCTGTAATCCCTCTTTGACTGCATGCAAAATTGTGGTTAATCTAACGGACAGTTCTGTTGTAGAACATGCAAATGAGCCGGCAATGTACCGTTGTTTGTACAGAGCTTTGTGGAGTTTAAGTATCCAATACAATCAAGGTAAGTCCTCATATTTGCTGCTAATTGAAATATTCAATGAGGACATGAAGGACTTGTGTTTTGTCAAGATGTCGTCTTTATCAGAAGTTACGTTTTTGTACGTGGGGTTAGTTGAGTGTTGATTTATTCCTAATTCTTTGATAAGACACTCGTAGTAGTATGATTACAGACAATATTGTTTGAAACTTTTTCCAAAGGAACAACAACATATTTGTCGTGAAGAGACTTCAGACATTTTATAGTCTCTGAATACGGACTTAGGTCGAACATTTACACATTTTTTTAACTTCTGGATTTTTAATTGTATCTACGACCTAATTGTTTTAACCCATTCTGACATAGTGTATAGTTCAACCTATTCTCGTTTTGACCATGCTCTGTTGTATAATCCTAATGTAATCAATAATAATTTAAAAGATATGGGTCCAAATGATGTGTTTTGGCTTTCTTGATTTGGAAATCGGAGATGGAATATAATTTTTGTTCATGCCTTTGATTGTCCTCTCAGAGTACTTTGTCTTCCTCTTTAAAAAAAAACCTGACCTCCACGATTTGGGAAAGTGTGCTTAAAAGGCATCAAACACAAGCTATAAAAACATTGAAATTTAGATCAATAATTAACCTTGCCTTTTAATAGACAAATATGATTTCTATATTTTGATTTGCTGGCTTGAACAATAACAGTAAGTATAAAATGATGATATGTTACTCTAAACAGACATTTTATTATGACTTTAAGATTATCCGACTTTACTTTGACGTGAAGACAACATGCAAATACTAACTTCGATATCCTTGGTTCTAGAGACAAGCATCTAATCATTTGACCAATACTTAAAAGGCATATTTATAAATCAACAAAAACAATGAAGATTTATAGATTGAAGGCTGGATGCTTATTTTTACTTTTACTTACGTTTATCAGTTGTTGGAAGTGTGATTGGTACTGTAAAATAAGACAAATTACGTTTATAAAATCAAAAGACATTTATGAAATACACATATACACAGACACTTTAGATTATTCGAGACTGCACATAATTGAGATTAAAAATCATTTTTTCTCACATTCACTCATTTTTGTTTATAGAAATGGTGGAATCTAACTATATTTTTAGAAAGATCTGTAGGCATTCTTTGCCTCCAAATTCACAAAAAGATGAATGGTCGCTTCATTATCCCAAAGAAAAATGTTTCCTATTCTCAGGAACATGGTAAGAATTAGGGCGACATGAAAGAAATGAAAGAATCTATCAATTTGACAACAAAGCAATGAGCAATGATGTATGTCTGCTATTCCATAAACGTTTAATTTGTACTGTGTACATATATTCTATGTTTTGTGATAATATAAGTAGTAACAATTATGTGTATGGATTTTCAACTAATTAAGTTTCTGATTTCTTATCTATCGTGTCAACTTATGATCGTTTGTCTTCCTAAAATGAATTACATCATGGACTAACAAAAAGAACTCTCAGAGAAGTTTGTTGACTTTGTGCAGTTCCAACATGATTATAAGCAAAACATTGATACATTCTTGTATCTGTAGTATCAAATGTTTTGAGGGTTAGAGATGGTGAGCGTGGAAAGACACGAGAGAAATGTGAGGACCTGGTGTCTACATCAACCAGCTCTCGGAGAGGGCTTGTAAATATCTGAAGAGTATGAATAGCTACATGTTAGAGGAGTGTTCATGTATTCTTCTAAATCAAAATCTTGCAATGCTTGTTTATGGGTGAAATGTTTAGGTGCAATGGTTTTGGTCTAACTTTAGGAGACAATAGGAACAGACTGACTTTTAAAAAAAGGCGGAATTTTAGGGGTTACTTCTTTGTGATGAAGAGCTTTGCTGATGCTGATAGCATCGATTCTTTTTTTGAAAACTGAATTGTGTACAGGCAGTGGATTGGCTCTTTCAATTTGTCTTTAAGTTTTGCCTAGGTAATATTTGTGTAAAGGATAGAAAAGTGAAATGTTTTATACTATTGAAAGATAAAATGTGATGACACTTTGATTGTATGTGCCATAACAGATCTACGGCTATGTTGTTATTGTTCATACTTTCAAGCTTCAAACAATTTCCTGGCTGCAACAGAGGGTCTATAATACTGATTTGTCTAGGTGTAAGGCAAATACAGTACTGATAAACTTGGCATTAAACACGTAGTGTCTATAAACGATACATAATAATCTTTAAATTATTTACTTTTGTACACTTTAATAAGAACTTTTAGCATTAGTCTGTATGGGAAAGGTGATTAAACTGGTTTATATCAGTTATTTAACACAGGTACAAGAAGCAAAAGAAACCACTCTGCGTCATCAATAAACAACTATATGAAATGATTAATACAACAATTGCAACTCTTCAATGACAACTTCTGAAATTGAAATTTTGTTGTGGGGCGAGATAAATAATACAAATTGAAATGGTAAAACGAAATAACGGAAAATCGAAAGGTTGAATAACTTTTTCAAAATTGATTTTTCCTTTTGTTCTTTATCGTGTTCAGCTTTACAACATAAACATACCCTGATTGAACGTTACACAGTTTATGAAAACAAAATATTTGTTTGTTTTTGGTGTAAGATTTTATATTGATCGAAAACATAAAGGAACATTACCTTCTTTTATGACTGTGACATTAACAATTGCCTCATCTACGTGTGTTCTATGACTGCATTTCCAAGGTCCATTGCGTGTGCTGTTTATATGCCTTTGTATCACAAGTACAGTTGTGTTTGTTTTTCGATCTTGCGTAATAACATTATGGGAAGAATGACACTCTTGTTACAGGGCTTATACAGAATCCTTGTTCTTCTTTTAAAGGATTTAGAATCTTAACTTCCCGTTTTAACTGGCTGACTTTACATTTGAAAGTAATGTTCTCCTTTTGAGCTTCCTATGTCAAGCAAACATGGACACCACAGGAGAGAATGACTGAAGAACAAATGCAACAGTACAAACGAGAAAACCAACGTACCGATTTATGCACAAAACCATAAACGAAAAACAATCCTTACTTTAAATTTGTCAGCAGCTTTCATAGTTTCATTTTTAAAGGGCTCTTAGGACTTTTAAAACAATGTTATTTTCTGCTAATTAAAAATGTCTTTCAAAGTAGCACATATTGTCATTATTTTTAAATTTCGAAAATGTCGTATTGCTGTAATTTTTTTTTTTACAAAATAACGTACTTAGTTAGAAAAATAGAGGTAGGATTATAACATAAAAAACAAACAACAGTCAGAAAAAGAAAACATTACCCTGGAACAGGGATGGGCACGATTACTGACAAATGTAATCGATTAATAATCGATTACATGAAGGATTTTGTGTAATCGAATAATAATCGATTACTATAATTTTTGTTTGTAATCGATTGCAATCGATTACTTTATTAAAAGTAATAACACTACTTTTCGATTACTGCCAATTACATATATTTTAAGTTCACAGTTGTTTTCTAGATGGAATCTCATACTAAAGATCAGAAATATTCAAAATTTCTTGAAATTTTGCCTTTCAAGATGAATAAGAGATGACATCGCATTGCATCAATCAGTTATTCATATTGTAGTTTTTTTTCAACCTACAATATAAATAACTGATTGATGCAATGCGATGTCATTTCATTCTTACTTAAGTTAGCTTTTTTGTTTTTACTCATTAAAACAGGTATATTTTAACATAGATGATTACAATGTTGTAAGTTCGAAAAAAAATATAAAAAAGGTAGAATAATTAATTAGTTCAGCAAATTTTAAAGATTGAAATACAATTATAATGACATACATGAATTAATCCTTGTTTGGATAAAACCACCCTAAGTACAGGTTATAAAACTGCCAATGGAGTACAATTTATAACCTAGGGAAAAATAATGAAAATCTCCTTCTTAATTAGACATAATTGAAATGAAAACAAAGTCTGTATCTTATTGATTAGAAGTCTGAACTTCTGATTAGTAAAGACAAGAAGTAAATTATTTTTTATTATCTAAACAAATTATAAACAATATATATTTATAGCGTCAAAAAGTGATACATGTATCCTTATCTGAAATAAAAAGAATTTCGATGCATAGCCATTGGTTCATTATTAAAAGGATTTTGTGTACTTTCTTAACTTTTTTATCATAACATTGTAAGAATCAACAGTTACTGTTTATCTACTCAAAGCTTAAATTCCAACTCTTATTGAAAATTATGCTTTGAGGAATTTTAATACAAATAAGATTACTACTTTAATGTAGTACAGAAATGAACTTAAGACTCAATTCTTAACTTAAATCTATTTTCATATTTTAATATAAAAGGTCTTGAAATATTGACAAGCACATTAATTCATTTGTTTCAAAACCTAAATATCAAGTAAAATTTGGTAGGAGATCTGGTTGATTATAATGCAGCTTGAGATAATAGATAGAAATAAGGCAGTTGATAAACTCTTTAAGTCATATTAATACATTCTATTTTATCTGTACTATAAAGTGATGAATACATCATGTACATATATAATTTCATTTAAAATAGGTTATATCTCATCAAACTATTTTACTAAAGTAATCGAAATGTAATCGAAAATAATCGATGATTACATCATAATTTTTGCTGTAATCGATTTAATTACGATTACATGTAATCGAAAATGTCTTCGATTACAGATTACTGTCGATTACTGGGGAAAATGTAATCAATTACAATCGATTACGATTACAGATTACTATTACCCCATCCCTGCCCTGAAAGCAAAATTTGAGGGCCCACACTTGCACATAGATAATAAAAATAAAATTTTAATGGTCATTCAAAATACGACATCAATAAATATTGTATCAAAAAATGTATATGTATTGTAAATAGAATGTGTCATATGAACAATATTATGACAGTCATTCAAAACACGACATATTTCGTATGACATATACTTTGTAAGACTGAAATTTGAAGGATGTGGTAACTTAATTTTGAAGCTCGATAAGATTTATGTATATTTTTTCATGAGCTTCTTTTGGACGTCTATAAGAGGTTACTCAATGTTCAAAAAAAGTTGCAAGGAATCTTTGGTAATACTTAATCAACTCTACGAATTATTGTAATTGCTTCTTATTTTATGTTTGTTTATCTTTCAGATAATATGTAGACTTTCTGGATTGCGTTACACTTTATATCTGCGGTATGCACATACATGATATAATTTGTCATAAAAATTCACATTAGGACGATTTTATTTGAATCCACCTCATTCATTATTTATATTTTCTTTAAAGCGCTCGGGCTCTTCTAATCGAGCATGGTTATATGTGGTTTTATGTGGGTCTCCATTAATTTGTCAATTAATGTCCGCATCATTCACGATTACAACAAATGGAACTGTTTGGTTTGCAATATAGATGTCGTAAGAAAACAGGGTAGCAAAACGGAAAATTGTAAAATTAAACCAAACCAAGGGTGGACACAGGATATTTATTCCAGCCAGCAATAAACTTTGCCGTAAGTATTCTTTTCTTTGGTAAATATTCAACTTGAGGAATAATAAATGCACAGGTCTTTAGCAACACATTATTTATTCATAATAAAAAAACTCACAAGGAAGACTACCTGTTATATCTATACTATTAAATGAGAAGACCTCATTTTGTGTGTCGCTTCACTTCCTTCCACATTAAATCAATCATCATGCTTTTATGTCCTATAGATACCATGCATAGTCGCATTTGTCATCCTCGCTTATAAATATTTCGTTTGGAGTTATTTGGGAGAAAAACGAAAATAAAGACGTCCGGATATTGTTTCCGTCCTCGGTCTGACTTTTAAGTCATAGATAAGACTTCCGTTTAGGACTTTAACTTACACATTATTTTCATAGGTACAAGGGTACAGGACAATTATTTTCGCGTTTTCTGTATACTATGAACAAACATACATGTATAC